GTTAGTTGTGTATTGCAATTTCACACCCACACCCACACCCTCAAGATGGTTGTTAATCATTAAGGTTCGATTGTTCAAAACAAGTTAAATATTATTTTTGTGAATTTTTATGTCCTTTATAAAACTCTGAACAAATGACTTGTACTAATGGATGTCAATTGAATGATAAACGACGTTCATTTACGAATGTTATCGAACTAGTAAAAAATAATGTTAAAGATGAAATTTATTCTACAGTTAAGCGATATTTAAATTTAATTAATGAATACACTAATTGTTCAAGTGATCTTTTACCATGTGATATTTTACTAAATGATTCTATTTATCAACGTTTACAAATAAAAAAAATAACCATTCTTTTGCATACGGATGGTGCACCTGTTACCAAAACTGGTGGTAAATCACTATGGCCAGTGCAAGCTACTATTGCCGAGCGTCTACCTCCTGTTCGTGATTATGTTAATGCTACTATGATATTTGCTGTGTGAATAGGTGGATCCTCCTCTTATACTCACGACAACACACACGCTCTATTTTGAAGGTCATGTACAATCTGATATTTCATTCCAAATAAAATACCAATTATGAATCATCCAATCCATTATGGAGCATACATTTATGAAAGTCATTATCGTACATTGTGCATTCAATGCAAGATAGCACATTACAAAGTTGTCATTTACGCAGAAATGGCTATTGATACCAATGATGTATGTCTTGTATTGTTGTTGACGAAACTACGAACGGTAAACTGTACTATTTATTATTTAATCATTTTTCATTTTTGAAAAACCGATTGGCATTTGATTTGGCTCGAAGAACTATCCGATCTGATGATTTAGTGAAGCAGACGCCAGTATATCCTAGAACGATGATTCCTGACGCAGTATTCCGTCAATTTTCGACGAGAACCGAACGCATTCGACCGTTTCCGTGCTGGATTATTTGACATTGGATTTGATGATACCCGGGTAGACGCTGCATCATCTCATGGCTTTGGACAACGACATTTAGATTTATTGCGTCCAATGACAGACTTATTTGCTGTTTATTTTACTTCTCTCACTGCGTTTATCCTGATAATAAACATTATTATATAAGCTAATTATTCAAACATGAAATATTTAATAAGGAAAAGATCTTTATTGAACATTATTTGATGTTAAAAAATAATGTTGATAACGATGACGATGTCGAACATATGAATCTGTTATAGCTGCTGCATAGTATGTAAAAATAGCAATTGTAAGAATATTTTTGACAACAAAAAATAAATTTTCAAGTGTACTCGCATCAAATTTAACTACAACAGCAATACGTAAACCAAGTAAAAGACCATCCTCAGTTGCCATTTGTGCTAAAATACCCCAAATTTCAGTACCAAATAAAAAATCAATGATAATAAGAAAACGTTCTTCAAGTTTTGCATTTGACCAAACAATTGTATCATAGATATGATCATGTTTTCGTTTACCAGATAAATTAACACTGAATTGTGAAAGAGATATAAAATATGCAGCTAAAACAATAAGAAAAAGTTTTGAAAATTAAATGAATATTTTTTCAAACATACCAATAATAGCTTTCATCATATTTTTATTTTTATTTTCAATTAATTGTTCACTTTGTCCAACCATTGTCGAAGAAAAACTATGAAAAATGTTTTTAGTCTTCAAAAATAATATTTCATTTAACTATTTTACTCGACAATATCAGAAGCAGTTGAAATAAAATATGTAATCAACTGATCAAGACCCAAATTACCAGTTATCATCCTTATCATAGAATATAAATCTTCTTTCAAAAGGTTTTAATTTTTCATATACCAACGTAGACAAATTGTAGCGAGTACTACAACTTGTTCTAGCATTTCATCAGGCATCTGTTTCATTAAACATATACCATAAACACACCAATCATCAGCATTTATTTCTTCTATTCGATCACATGTACTATTATTTATTTCAATTGTTGATTTTGCTTGATTCATTTGTACTATTTCAAATTCCATTAGATGAAGTTGTTGTTTTTCTTTTAAATCCCAACATTTACTAACATAAGATTCTAAATTAAGATTTGCATGTTTAGCTTGTAGTTTAGAATCTTTTACAGATTGTACAAAGTATGCATAACGTAAAAACCATAAGGGAGGCATTGTAACTATAAATAAAATAAAAATATTTTATTTATTTATTTATTTTATTAATTTACATGTAATAAATATGGCTACACCTGTATTAATCCAGAAATATTCAACAATTTTTCTATGTACATAGATTTTCAATAAAATAATCCACCAATCAATAATAAGATATATTAAACCAATATAACAAAAATTTGATAATATCCATAATTGTTGTTTTTCACACATAGCTCGAACATAACAAATTATAAGTAACGTAGACATAATAATACGTGCAAAACCATTACGTATAATAAAAATAATTAATTCATCTGTTCTATACATTTATGCAAAATAAAATATGTCAATGATTTTGCGCTTTTTGTTTCTATATGAAAATCTTTGAAATCAAAGTGTTTATAATATTTTTATTTAATAATTCAATCAATGACTGTTACATATCATAGAAATAAAAAGCAAAGCAATATCTACATAGAAAAAAGAAAAAAAGAGGAAAGAAATTTATCTGACTAAATAGCTTTATAATAAATTCATTATTAATTATTCATAATCGATGATCTTGTTTATTTGCTCTTATCGCTGCTTTTCGTTTAACTGATTTAACTGTAATACGTTCTGGTATTTGTTTTTTTAATGTTCGACGATATTTTTCACAAGCTAAATCAAATGTTATTGCAAATTGATTTGAATGATCTGTTTCAAGTTTTTGTCGAATAAATAATTCAAAGATTTGTGTACGAGTAAACCATTCTAAAAATAATTCAATTGTATGTTGTTTCGATTGAATAAAATGTTCAATATCAAATATATGATTTAAATAATCTTTATAATTATAACATGATTGAATAAATATAGACATAAAAATATTTCGTAAACGTTGTTGACATTCATCCAGTGAAAGATTTTGTTTATGTTTTCGTAAAAATGATATTTCTTGTTTAAGTTCAATTTTAAAAATTTTTGGAAGAATTTGAAATTTTGAATGGGTTTTAGTTAGATTATCAAGCGATCCACGAGATGAGTCATTTGATAAATAATCATTTATTGAATAAATATGATCATGATCAATATCAACAATAAGTATATCAGAATTATCTTGAGATAAAAATTCATCATTGTCACATAAATAATGTTCACATGAACGTAAAATACCAATTATATATGGTGTTGGTGCTTGAAGAATATCAAGCATTAATGCTGGTAATATAGGAACATAAGTATGTGGCCATGAAAATGGATAGAGAAGACAAATAAATGTATTTATTAAACGTGTTAACGGACCAAGTTCATTAGCAATAAAAATTAGTTTTTGTTCGTATAAAATTGAAGAGAAAATTTTGATAATTGTATCTGTTGATAAACTAAGTAAATTAATTGAATCAATTAATTGTTTTCGTCGATCATAATCACATTTAAGTGTATATAATCCAACTGTTGTTGTATGTATATGTATTGTATCACCATGCGATATGTTGGATTTATATGAGAAAATA